CAGGGTATAGTAGTCTGGGCTGGAATTTGTTTTCATAGAGGACTTGAGTTACTCTGCTCCATGCTCTTCTTGCCTTCATGGTTTGTGAAGAGAAGTTGGCCGTAATTCTGATGGTATTTCCTTTGAATGTGATCTGCTTCTTTTCTCTAGCAGTTTTCAGTAGATTATTCTTGTGTTGAATTTCTGGGATCTTGACTCTTATATGTCTTGGTGGGTTTTTAATTGATTTGAGGTAACTTGGCGTTCTGTATGCTTCAGTTTCCTGAATATCAGATTGTTTCCTCATATTTGGGAATTTTTCTGCTATTACTTCTGCCCATATTTTTTTAATGTCATCTGTATTGACTCCTTTCTCATTGATGCCTATTAGTCTCACATTGTTCATCTTTGCATCATCTTGCAGGTGATGAATTATTTTTTCCTGCATCCTTTTTATTTTAAGAGATCCTTTCTTTCCTTTTCAGTAGCTGCACCAGCATCTTCAAGATCTGAAACTGTCTTCACTTTCACTTAAACGGTTTTACAAGCTTGTGATTGGGATTTTAATTTCCTCTATATCTCCTTGACTCTGCTTCATGCAATCTATTTCTTTCCTGCATTGCTTATTCAATGAATCCGTCATTTTTCTAATCTCTATTTTTTTTATCAATGTCTTCTTTAGAAGCAGTTATAAACTCTTTTACTGCTGTGTTTTTTTCAGATTGATTTTCCTCCCTATGTTTCTGTAGTTCCTTCTTTACTTCAGATGCTATGAATTCTGACAATTCTTTTTTTATTTCAGAAAAGAATTGTGCTCTGAGTTCCTCTATAAATTTCTGCTGTTGCCTATCTAATATCGGCCCTATTAATTCATGCATTTGAGCTGAGCTAGTGTCCTCTGCTCTTGTTCTGGGTTGGCATTGGTTTTCCTCCATATGTTTCTGCATTTGATTCTTTGCTGCAAATGTTATTAATTCAGGGATTTCTTTTTTTATTTCCAATCTGAGTTCCTGTATACCTTTCTGCAGCTGTTTTTTTATTTCAGAAGCCATTGATTCATTGCTTTCAGCTGTGTGATTCCCAATTTGTTCTGTGTTAGTGTTCTCTGCACTTGTTATGGGTGGGCTTGGGTTCTGAAGTTGCATTTTGTTCCTCCTCTCATTTTGTGTAGCACTGTCTTCTGACTTTTGTTGTAGATCTTCTTTGTAGTTATAACCTTCGCATGTACTGAAGTTCAGGTGCAGATCTTCAAAGTTTGGATTTATCCAGCCTTGCCTGGCTTTGGTCTGGCTGCTCTGCTCAGCTCCTTCCCTCTGCTGCCATTGAGGGTGAACTTGTTGTGCCCCTCTGACAAGATTTTCTGCTCCTGGACTAGGTGGGTGGTCCTATGTTAATCCCTACACTCTCTGTAGGGATTTCAGCTGCAGGCTTACACCCCAGGCCTGTATGCCAGGCCTGATCTGAGCCTGGAGGGGACAAGGTGGAGTTGGGGGGAGAAGCAGCTCTCCCACACACTCACTGGTCCTGGGCTAGGACTGGGTCTGGGGGTTCCAGGAACAGTGCAGAAATTCCTACTTGGTGGGTGGGGTAGGGCAGGTGCTGCAGAGTGGTTGGGGGCATCCCAAGGGGGTGGAAGAGGGTCTCGCCCACACTGCACCTGGGCTGGGACCAGTAGTAGGTCCTGCTGGTGCAGGGTAGTGGGAATCTCTCCCACACACTCACTGGACCTTTGCTAGGACTGGGTCTAGTTTTCTGATTTTAATACCACAGCATGAAAACATTTTTGTTCATTATTGAGTTCTTATAACAAACATTATTTGAAGCTTTTTGATAACCAACCTGTCAATAAAATATGTCCAGGCATCCCTCTGCAGCCTCCTCACTGCTGCCCTGAGAACCCTGCCCCCTATCCCTCAGCAGCACAGTGACAGCTCCCAGGAACCAGTTCCTAGCCTCATGAATTTGTTCTGTCCTCTCTACACTCATTATCTCCATCCTGCCTCGCATTCTTCTTTGGTCATACTTGCACTACTAATCATTATTTCTGGCTTTCTCTCTGCACCTACCAGGCTAGCCTTCCAGATAATTCCAGATTATTTTCTCAGAACTCCATTTTGATCAAATCGCCCCATTAGGGTCTGAACTCCTAAGACAATTCCAATCTCTCTTGCTCATTGTATTTCTCAACAAGAACAAATGTACACCCTGCTTCTGAGAAGCCCCACACCACAAGCCTCCCTATCTCCCCCTGGGAGTTTTTCCCTCCCATACAATGGAATGCCATAACATGAGGTTAGCCCTCTGAAATTTTGCTAACTCACTTTTGGGTTGGAGTCATACTATGTTATTTGATTGAATGAAAGCATGTACATGATAATGTTCAATGCTAGCATTTGGCAGATGTAGGATAATTACATAATCTTCACTGACTATTCATGTGAATGAAGAGAGCAGAAAAGTAGAATATGTATGTTAAGACTAAATGTTTGTTTTAAAAAAAAAACTTAAAGCTACATTTAAAAATCCAGGTAGGAGAGTTCTGAATCAACCAGCAAACCTAAGAACTGATGAGTTTTCATTTAAACTGTGAGAATATATTGGGATCCATTGCATTAGGTCTAGAGGACTGTAGAAAAACTGAAGGACCATATCACTCATCATGTCTGTCACCATCTTCAATGTACATTTGCTTTCCTCATATGTATACTTGTACAAAATTTTTAGACAATTATATTTAATAAGGTAGAAAATTACCAAACATTTTAAATAAATCTCCTCCTTCATGTCTGAAATCCACTGATGTGAAGTCCACAAATTCATAACAAATGTTGAAAAAGAGTTCTAGTATTTATAGAGTAACTGACTCCAAGTGCTGTTTCAAGGGAAATAACTGATTGGCCCAGAAGAACAAAGATGCAAACAATGTAAGTACCACCACCAGGGCATGCTTTCCTGGAAAACTTCTCACCCTTGCATCCAAACATTACTTCCACTTGGGAAAAATAGACTTATATGTAAAAAAGTGATTTTGGGGGGCTGGTAGTGATAGCATATACCTGTAGTCCCAGCATTTAGTAGGCTGAGGCAGGAGGACCACTGTGAGTTTGAGGCCAGCCTGGACTGCATACTGAGTTCAAAGTCAGCCTATTCTGCATACTGAGGTCCTGCCTCAAAAAGAAGTAATTTGTATCATTTTATATTAAAAACTTTAAATGTTTCTTTAATAGGAGGATATGATTACTAAAAGAAGAGCTGAGCTTATTTTAGAGAGAGAGAAAAAAAAGAAAGAGATGGTAAGTAAATAAACTTGGTTAAAAAAGCAAAACACTTTATGATCTCAACAGTATAAAATAAAAAGATGCATCTACTTCAGATTTATATAAGATTAGTGAAATCATGCATTGTTTTTATTTTCTTTATTCTTTTTGATATACCACAGCTGTTATACTGACTTTTTACTATATTTATCATCAGAAAAAATAAACTTTCCCTACAGATAAGCCCCACTTAATTCATTTAAATAATACAGTACAAAATATAGCAGTACACAGGAAAGAGACTTTTTGAGATTTTCACTTTTGCTTTTCACACTTTCAGCTAGTGCTGCTGGGAGTGGACTAGAGAGAACACATAGAGTTAAGCTGGAGCTGGACTGTTGATTGTCTTAGGGTGAGGATTGGGGGCAGATACAAACTGTTGCCACAGACACCTAGGTAGGATGCTCAGTGTAGCTCCTTTTCCCTGCCTGCTACTGTCTTTTAAAGATAAGTCTTGAGGATTATGGGGTTCTGTTTATTGAAAGAGCAGCTATTTCAAATATAAGGAAAAAGAAAAAGTAGTAAGAGGACTTAACGGTTCCAAAATCACCCCCCCCCCAAAAAAAAGAAGCCAAAACTGAGAAACTGTGTCCTATAGCTAAGCTCCTTTTGGAGAGAAAAGCATTTGGGCTCCCAACCTCCTCCTGCACCCCACAAGCCCAAACCCAAGCTCCAGGTGCCTAGTAAAGAAACAAGATCATCTAGGAATATTAAGGAAGAGAAAATGAAAAGGCAAGCAATGGAGAAGGGCTGGAAAAGAGAGAATGTTGAACATTATTTAGGGTTGGAGCCCTGTACTAACTGGATGGGGAGAGATAGAAAGTGAGATGCTGAGATTACTCCAAATTCAAGATGACTTTCAATTTTCTGACCAGAGGGCAAGTGCCAGTTGGAACAAGTTATACTGCAGGGAGAATGGTGTGTAAGCAGGGCAGGAGCTAAATAATAAACTTTTTTTGTGCAAAAGAACAATAACATCTGAAGTCTATGCATATAACTTAGTACCAAATTCCTCCCATGGTCTTTAATAATCATTCATGAAATAATCTTGTTTCTCAGATGGGCTAAAGTCTCCTAAAAATCAGGATGGTCACATTATTAGTACAGTGCTTTGTACCAAGTGACTAAAATGGCAGTATAATCATGCACCACAGACTTTTGAGGGGTGTGTGTGTGTGTGTGTGTGTGTGTGTGTGCGCACACCTATTTTATAGGTAAAGGAATTGATCTCAATATTGTGTATTGAATTCAGGCATATATATTTGTCTTTTCTTGTACTGTGCACTGAATTCAGATGTACTTTGCCACTGAGCCACATTCCCAGAACTTTCTATTTTTTATTTTGAGATAGAGTCTCACTATTACACTAAGTTACCCAAGCTTGGCTTGAACTTGCAGTCCTCTTTTCTCAGTCTTCCAAGTGCTGGGATTGTAGGCACATGCCATTGTAACTGGCTTGGGTTTCACATTGATTAAGTCACTTAATGCTCACTCCCCCAAACCTGTTAAGCTACCTTACTTGTATTACTATTTTATAGGTAAAGGAACTGATCTCATGCCAGTTAATATAGCCAATATGTTTTTATAGTCTTTGTGCTACATTAAGTATTATTTCAGAAGGTCATCAAAAATGTGACATTCTGACTATAGACATTTTATCCATTTACTTATAGGATTGCTACAATGTCAGAATCTTGAAAGTTGTAAATTTCATGGGCCGGCCAAATAATTCAGCAGATTAAAGCACTTGCAAGCACTTGCAGGGGCCAAGGGTTAGATCCCCAGGCCTGCCATGCCAGCCCCACCCCCAGGGCACACTGAAATGGCAACTGAGACTGGGTGTGGTGGTGTACGTCTGTAATCCCAGCTCTTGGGAGGCTGTAAACAGGCAGATCACTATGAGTCCGATCTAGTAGTGAGACTCTAAACACCCTGTAGATCCTTCCCTAAAATACAAAAAGAAAAAAAATTGTGAATTTCTGAATGCCAGATGGTTAAAATTTTACTGTGTTTCCAGATGACTGTTAGGATACCAACCAATACAAAGGTATTACAAAACACTTGTGATGATTTTTTAACAGTGTCATTTGACACATACTCTGTATGTGAAAGGACATGTTTTCTTCCTTAGGTTGGTGTTAGAGAGGATGATGAGATTAGTGAGGAAGAACCTGATGAGGATGAGGATGATATTGAGAACATCCTTGAAGTGTTTACAAAAGAGGAAGAAGAGATGAGTGAAGAAGATGAACAGGAAATTGAAGCAGTTGAGCGCCTGAGAATTGAACTGGGAGAAAAATTTGATACAGATGTGAATAATTTACAAATGATACAGGTTCTGACTTTTCCTTCAATTATTGAAATTCAGAATATAACATTTGAGCTTGAAACCAAAGCAGTTTGATCAATGCCTTATTTCAAGATTACATTTCAAAAGAAGTATGTATTTTAAGGCTGTGATTACTTTTACAGTACCACTTAATTTTGAAGACAGTTCCATAAATCAGGAACAACTGAGAGTCCTCACAGGGTTAGCTGCCAGAACTCAGCTACTTGCCAGCTGAGTCTTATTTTTTATACTGTAATAGTCACCAGAAGTGCCTGTGTAGTGTGAATGATTGATCCTTCTCTCACCAAATATATTAGGTTTTATGGTTTCTTTCATTAGGAAGAATTTGAGAAGTTTTTGATACCAATATTTTCTGTTAATGGAGCTCGAAAAATCCATATTGTACAATATGCATTGAATAAGAAACTGAAGCCACTGGTGGAAAATCGTGAGAGCATTTTTGAAACATGTAATGCAGTATCTGCACACCTTGCCCAGAAAATGATTGCCTTTACCTACAAATATATAAGCTCATTTGGCTATTGGGACCCTGTAAAGGTAATTTAAGCAAATGTATCTGAAAGTCATATTTTTTCTCTATTTCTTTTATATATATATATATATATATATATATATATGGAATATATTATATATTAGGAAAAAAATTAGCTAGAAAAAAGCCTAGATAATTCTAAAAATTGTAAAAATTGCATAGTATTCTTAGCTAGGTATAAAAATATTTGGGAATTCAAATGGAATCTTTCAACTTTTCTTTTATTACCAAGTATATAATGTGAAGCAGATACCCCACCCCACCCTTGAGTTTCTTCTTATTCCCAGCATATATGCCTACCTGTGAACCAATAGCAACTGTCAAGGAGACAGATATCAAGGAGAATCAATATTAACAATACTATGTTACATCTACTCTTTTGATCCTAGGGATGGCTGATACTTGGCTATCTGATGCTATAAGATGATATTCAAACTGCACATGAATATTCATACTGAACTCATGGTCCCTCATCACTACCAAAGTGAGGATGTAGGACCCCTCTTTCCTCTACATTCCATTCTCACATCTTATGCTACCTGTTATAGGCATTTTCCATTCTCATAACTACTGTTAATGTTTTTGTGAGTAAGAATTCATCTGTATAAATCTGTGGAAGAGAATTCAGGGCAATTTACTGGCCAGACCATTGCAAAAGATAGCTCAAGAACCCACTTGTAACAATCTTCTCTGATTACTTTAACAAAGTGTAAGGGGTAAAAAACTTTAAGCAGTGTCTTGGTTACTTTTCTGTTATTGCTGAATGAAAATACCCAACACCCAAAATTAAGGAAGGAAAGGTTTATTTAGCTTACAATTTGTTGAGGTTTCAGTCCATACTTAGCTGGCACCAAGGCAGTGGCACATGGCAGAGGGTGATAATTAATGGCATTGGAAAGCAACAAAAGCAACAAGAACAAAAAAGGAGGAGCAGCAGAGAGCAAGCCTCTTTCCCTCCCTTACATTGTACCAGGCTAACTGCCCCAGGATCAGTGTAAAACGCACACCCATAATCCCAGCATTGGACAATGAGTCAATCACTCACTCTAGAAGCTGCCCCATGACTGCATAAAACTTTCAGGGGACACCTAGACACAAGCCATAATAAACAGGAATTTATTTTTTTCTTAGTTCTGGAGGCTAGAAGTCCAAGATCAACTGTGTTGGTAGGAGTAGTTTCCATAAAGCTTTTATTCTTGCCTTGGAGTAGTCACCTTCTCAAAATGTCTACACATGGAGATTTTTCTGTGCATCCTCAGGTGTCTCTTCTTCTTAAAAGCACATAGGCTTTTTGGTTTAGAGCTCTATCTGTATGACCTCATTTAGTCTTTTTTTAAAGAGTCATGTATAATTCATTAACACTAATTTCTCTTTACCTCATTTAGTCTTAATTACTCCCTTAAAAGTTCTATCTCCACTTCCCTGGCAAGTGCAAGGGCCTGAGTTCAATTCCAAGTTCTGCAAAATAAATAAATATAAAAGCCCTATCTCCAAGTATAATCACTTTGTGGATTAGGTCTTTAACATACAAATTACAGGGGAGAGGAGACAATTTAATCCCTAACAGCACTTTAGGAATGGATTTGTTTATGAGGATACTCCTTGACATATATATTCAATATGTAGAAAAGATAATATCTATCATAAACTGAAGCTGCTATTTTGATTGCATATTGCTATGAAATAATTTTAGTTATTTAATATTAACATTTGATTGTAGATTTATCTGTAATTGAGATTTGTCTTATTATTTTAAGAAATGCTCTGTAAGTTAAAATTAACTTGCAAATTTAATTGTGTTGCAGCTAAGTGAAGGAGAAACATTTCAGCCAATTGGAAATGTGGAGAATCCAATTTATCCTGTAATCCATCGTCAGTATATTTATTTTTTATCTAGTAAGGAAACTAAGGAAAAATTCATGAAGAACCCCATCAAATACATCCGCCAACCCAAAGCTAAGCCTACTATGCCTATCAGGATTATAATTGTGGGGCCTCCAAGATCTGGGAAAACTACAGGTGAGCATGTTTCTATTTTCCTCTAGCATACAAGGATCCACTGAAACCTAGTGACAGATCCTCCAGAAACCAGCTATCTATCAAAATTGACAGTTATTGGTCTACTCTACCTGAATAGACCAATAATTGTCGAAGACAAGTGCAAACATGTTTTCATTGTAAAATATATCTGAGATATAAAATTATTAAGAGAAAACAAAATTTGGGAATGTCAGTCTGTAGTTAGTGAGGCAGCACATTGTGATAATGCACTACAGAACAAAGCCACTCCCTTCATGGCTGAAGAGAAAGTGAGGGAGAGGTAGAAGGGGAGGGGGAAGAAGAGGGAGAGAGGGAGGGGGAAGGGGAGGGGAAAGGGGAAGGGAAAGAAAGAGAGAGAGAGCAGAGTGAGCGAGAGTGTTTCTTACAGCCTCCTTCAGAGACAGTGCCTTGAAGTAGAACTTCCCCATAGGCTGCTTCATAACAATGCCATCTCCTGCAGGAATATCACAGTCGGAGACCAATCCTGTAATACAGGACCTGGGACATTCTAGACTCAAGCCACAGTAGGAAGACAATCAGAAATTGCCCAGAATCAGATAGACTTAGAGAAAAATTACATCAAAACTTTGTTCAGAGAATTAAAAGTCAAAGAACAAATTTACATGTTTTAAAAAGTTTTTCATAAGCAGAAGAGAAGATAGTAAGCTTTCCAAAGTATTTTTATTTTCTTTTTTATTAAAGAATACAGTGCATATAATCAAAAAGTATATGTGATCCATTTTAAATTTATTACTCTGATATCAAAACCTAACAAATATAATACAGGAAAATAACTCACAAATTATTGTTATTATTTATAATTATAGTAAGATATCTTAATCAGATACTATAAAATTTACTATGAAAAATATACTAGAAGATATCTTAGTTTGAAATGTATCAAAAGCATATACATGTATACTCTTATAGTAATACAGTCATACATTGAATGACACTTCTGTCAGTGACAGACCATGTACACAGTGGTGGTTTTTCTAGAGGATACTATTATCTAGTTGAGTCAGGCTAGTTTGTGTAAGTGCACCCTGTAATGTTTGCAAAATGACAGTAATACTAAGAGATGGATTTCTAAGAACACACTTTTGTTAAAGTGCATCACTTTAGTTTAAAAGTACAAATCAACCAGGTGAGGTGGCTAGCATCCACAGTCCCAGTGCCTCAAGAGGCTGATGCAGGAGAATTGCAAGTTTTCAGGCCATCCTAGGCACCTTCGTGAAACCCTGTCTTAAAAGCAAATTGAAGAAAGACATTTGCAGTGTTCCTCAATGGCAGAGCACTTGACTAGCACACACAATACCCTGGATTCAATCCTCAATACTAGTAAAAAATTTTGAAGCACAAATCAGTAATCTTAATCACTGTTGAAAAGGCATTTGAAACTCTTGAAGACATAGGGGTAGGCAAAGAGTTCATGAACAGAAATCAAATCGCATGGGAAACAGTTGAAAGAATTAACAACTGGGACCTGCTCTTACTGAGAAGTGTTTTCATGTCAAAAGAAATTACCAACAAAGTGAAAAGGGAACCCACAAATTTGGAAAAAATCATGACCTATAAGTACTCAGACAA